GTAGGTAAGTTACTTGAGAAGATTCTGAGGGATAAGATGTACATGCATTTGGAAAGATATGGTTTGATTAGGAGTAGTCTGCATGGCTTTGTGCGTGGGAGATCATGCCTCACAAATTTGTTAGTGTTCTTTGATGAAGTGACCAGGAAGGTTGATGAGGACGGGGCAGTATCCGTAGTCTATCTGGATTTCAGTAAGGCCTTTGATAAGGCTCCATGTGGTAGGCTGCTCTGGAAGGTTGGATCACATGGAATCTATGGAGAGCTGGCAAATTTGCATACACGATTGGCTCGATGGTAGGAAGCAGAGGGTAATACTGGAAGGATGCTTGTCTGATTGGAGGCCTGTGACTCGTGGTGTGCCTCAGGGGTCAGTTCTGGGCCCATTGCTGTTTGTTATCTATATTGATGATTTGGATGAGAATGTACAAGGCATTATTAGTAAGTTTGCGAATCTCTCAAAAATAGTTGGTATTGTGGACAATGAGGAAGGTTATTAGAAATTGCAGCAGGATCTTGATCAGCTGGGGAAGTGGGCCGAGAAATGGCAAATGGAGTTTAATATAGACAAGTGTGAGGTGTTGCATTTTGGGACGTCAAATCCAGGTAGGAGTATCATGGTAAATGGTAGGGCCTTAAGGAGTGTAATGGAAGAGAGGAACCTTCGGGTTCAGGTGCACAGTTCTCTGAAAGTGGAATCACAGGTAGACAAGGCAGTGAAGAAGGCTTTTGGCACGCTGGCCTTCATCAGTCAGGGTATCGAGTATAGAAGTTGGGAAGTTATGATGCAGTTGTACATGACGTTGGTGAGGCTGCAGTTGGAGTATTTTGTTCAGTTTTGGTCACCTTGCTATAAGAAGGATGTTATTAAACTGGAAAGAGTGCAGAAGAAATTTACAAGGATGTTGACAGGACTCCAGGGACTGTGTTATAGGGAGAGGTTCGACAAGCTAGGACCTTTTTTCTTTAGCATGTAGGAGACTGAGGAGGGGAATCTTATAGAAGTGTATAAGATCATGTGAGGCATGGATAGGGTGAATGCACTCAGTACTTTTCCCAGGGTTGGGGAATCGAGGACTAGAGGACATCAGTTTAAACTAAGAGGGGAAAGAATACATGGGAACCCGAGGGGCAACTTATTTACACACAAGACAGTACGCATATGGATTGAGCTGCCAGCGGAAATAGTTGAGGCAGGTACTCTAACAACATTTAAAAGGCATTTGGACAAATACATGGATAGGAAGGGTTTAGAAGGATATGGGCCAAGTGCAGGGAAATGGGCTTAGCGTGGATGGACATTTTAGTTGGCACGGACCAGTTTGGGCCAAAGGGCCTGTCTCCGTGCTGACTCTGAGAGGAGAAATATTTTAAAGAAGACATGAGGGGTAACTTTTTTTTTTTTTAAAAAAGAGTGGTTCATGTGTGGAATGAACTTTCAGAGGAAGTGGTGGATGCAGGCACAGTTACAATGTTTAAAAGTCATTTAGATACGTACATGAATAACAAATGTTGGAGGAATATGGACTTAATGCAGGCAGGTGAGACTAGTTTAGTTTGGGATTTTGGTCAATATGGACTAGTTGGACCAAAGGATCTACTCTTGTGCTGTATGACTCTGACTCTATAATCGTAGAATCTCCACAGTGTGGAAACACGCCATTCGGCCTGTCGAGTTTCCCCTGACCCACCAAACAGCATTCCACCCAGACCCACCCCCTACCTTATCCCTGTAACCCTGCATTTCCCATGACTGATACACCTAGCCTGCATATCCCTGGACACCATCAGCTATTCAGCATGGCCAGCCCACCTAACCCACACATCTTTGGACTGTGGGAGGAAACCAGAGCACCCAGAGGAAACCCGTGCAGACACGGTGAATGTGAAAACTCCACACAAACAGTCACCCGTGGTTGGAATCAAACCTCTGTTGTCAGATAGCAGTGCTAACCACCGAGCCACCATACCACATAATGCCAGCATACAGTAAGTTGCAACTTGTTAAGATAAGTGAATTAAGACTCACTAGTGGTTCATCCCTTAACACTTAACCAAATAGGCCCTACGGCCCAGTATAGAAAGGAGAATTGGTGGCAGCACTGTACCCTAACAATTGGAAGGTATTGAAAGCAAAACACTATGGATGCAGAAAATGAGGAATAACACACACAATGCTGGAGCAACTCCGATCTGGCAGCATGTACACAGAGAGAGAGACATGAATAGTTCATGTCCTGAGCTCAAAGACTCTTCTTTGTAACTGAAAGAGTTGGAAAACGATAGATTTTTTTTTAATGTATACGTTGTTGACAAAGGGAGAGGAGGAGCGAGTACAGGAGCAGCAACTCATTTTCTGCTTGGGTACTTAACAACCTTTAGGATTCAATATTGAATTGAACATCTTCAAAACACAAATACTGTATACTGTTTTGATTACCCACCTACCACCCAACTTTGCACCCTGTTTATGTCTTGTTGGTTTCAGTCTCAGCAGTGCTGAACTAGTTCTTCCTCATCAAACCTACTATTCAAGTCTATTTTACATCCCAGTATCTCCTTTAGTCTCCCATTAGCATTCTTTTGCATTTGACATCCTCACTGGCTATTCCACTTGCTTTTCCTCTTGCTTTAAAGAAGCGTAAAAAACACCATTTTCCAGAAAGGTCTTTGGACTCGATGTTAACTCGGTTTCCCTCTCTCTACATACATTACTAGATCAGCTGGGTTTTCCAGAATTTGCTGTTTTTATTAACTGGTAGTGATTGAATGTGTTGTGGAACCAGTGTGCTAACAGTAATGGGATTGTTGTTTATTACGTCAAGGTAAAAATGGTGTTTTAAAAAAAAAAATCCCAGAAGAATAAATTTTCAGAAGACAGGGAAGTTTAAGTCACCAGCAGCTGGTGCTTAAATAGACAAGCAAGTCAGCAGTACCCGTGGAAGTAACAGTGGTGCAAACGCAAGCTAAGGTCTTCACCTCTGAGCAGATAAGTGAGTGAGCTGGTAACAGAATAAAAATAAACCCTGTGCAGTTACTGAGTCTTTAAAAAAAGAAGACTCTATAGGGACAGTAACAATTTGAGATTCACTTTTCTTATAATAGTTTTAAGCTGTTGGTGTTCCTGCCTGGCCAGCATTTATTGAGCATCTCTGGTTGACTTTGAGAAGGTGGTGGTGAGCTGCTACTTTGAACTGCTGCAGTCCAATTAGGTAGACCTGTAATTAGGCTTTTGACCCAATGACACAGGGTCGGCAATACATTTCCAAGTCAAGAGGGTGAATGACTTGGAGGGGAAATTGTAGGTGATGGTGTTCCCATGAATCTGCTCCCCTTGTCCTTCTAGATGACAGTGGTTGAGGTTTGCAAAATGCTGTTACAAGGAGCCTTAGTGAATTTCTACACCTTATAGAGCATGTGCATACTTCTGTTATTATGCATCAGTTTTGGAAGGAATGAATGTGGGATTCCTAGTGTCTGACCTATTCATGTTGCCACAGTATTTATATGGCTAGTCCAGTTCACTTTGTACTCAGTGTAATCCCCAGGATGTTTTAGTGGCAATGTCTATCTATCCAATGTAACTTTCAACGATTATTATCACTTGATAAACTATGTCGGGTTAAGACAAGTGCCTCTTGTAAAGATGCACTAGTGGTTCAGCATCCGCCACTTAACAAAATGTGACCTTAGATCCAGAGTAAAAGGGAGCATTGATGTCCAAGGAGGGGCTGTTTAACATGTTTAAGTTTTATTTTAAGAGTAAAAAGGAGGGTCGATGCAGTCCCTACCCCAATCATTAGCTGCTAATGCTTGGCTACGTAGTGTATACAATATCAACCAGTGTATGTTTAAGCATACAAAACACAAACTAAAAATGCAATGATTGGCCCTATGTCAAAAGACTCCTGCAATATTTATCAAGTATTTCACTTGGACCCACCAGCTTCTGATTGCCAATGGTACTTGAAAGACCCTCATCTGAAAAGCCTGATGTGTAATTGCAGGTCTGAGAATTCTACTAGTACAGAGTCAGTGAGTCAGTGAGTCAGTGTCATAAAAATGTAGGGCATGGAAACACACCCTTCAGTCCAACTCATCCATGCTGACCAGATATCCTTAAATAAATCCAGTCCCATTGCCAGCATTTGGCCCATATCCCTCTTAAACCCTTCTTATTCATATACCTTTTAAATAATTGTATAATTGTACCAGCCTCCACCACTTTCTCTGGCAGCTCATTCCTTCAATGCACCATCCACTGTGTATATAAAGAACAAGTTGCCCCTTAGGTCCCTTTTAAATCTTTCTCCCCTCTCTCACCTCACACCTGTGCCCTGTTGGACTCCTTCATCCTGGGGAAAAGACTTTGTCTACTTAGCCTATCCATGCCCCCTCATGCTTTTATAAACCTCTATAAGGACACCCCTCGGCCTGCGATGCTCAAGGGAAAATAGCCCCAGCCTATTCATCCCCTCCCTATTAGCTCCAACCCTCTGAACCCTGGCAACATCCTTGTAAATCTCTTCTGTACCCCTTTTAAGTTTCACAACATCCTTCCTATAGCAAGGAGACCAGAATGTTTGAATTGGCATCTGCTTTTATATTAAAAGACAGAACTGTCAGTAGGTAAGGGATATCTCTGGCCTGGCACAGGAAATACCAGCTCTACTGGGCCTATAAGAAGCATTCACACTTAGTGTCCTATCTTTAGTGCTGTGGTAGAAAGAGATCAGAAGAATTAGCTCCATAAGCACTCTTCCTAAACACTGCAACATAAAGTCACAGCTCTCTATGGTTTCAAAGTTTTTTTTTATTGTAAGTGGGTTAAGTTTAATTTTTCTATTTTACCCAAAAAAATTCAGGAATTTCACAAAGGCAGCAAGTGAGAAGATTTTATAGTTCAGCTTGCGCAAATTGATATTTCAAGCTGTTTTTAAGATTTGTTTTATCAATAAATTTGATGTGTGTGAAAATTGACTTTTTTTTTTCTGTTTCCAGCCACCCAGAGTCTCTGGTGTTAAAGTGTACACAGATCAAGTGGACAAGCGACAAGTGATCATCGATTTGCAAATTAGGTAGGTTCATTTTCTTAATGGTCACGTTTTAATTAATTCCAACACCATTTATTTCTCTCAAAATGTGAGTGAAGCATATCCTCTTAGTTTATCTGGAATTGGTTTACTTTACCCATCATTGCTTTTCATTGTATTTCCAAATTGTCCAATAATCTAATATTAAATTCCTCTCTTGACACAATCGCAGTAGTAGATTGAGAAAACTATGGTGGTAAAACTATTGAATGCAAATGAATTACTTTGACCATATTTCAGTTTATGAAACATTTTTTATAAAATATTTCCCTGCTGCAGCTTTTAAAAATACAATTGGATACTTAATTTTTGAAATCTAGATTAGAAAATGTTAACATTTTGCAATACCATAAATTAATAATTGAAACCAAATATGTGGTCAGTGTAATATACTTGAGGAAAAAGATGAATTTAGTTGATATTGATCACAAAGCTTCTCTACAAAATTGCCTAGCAACATGTCTGATTCTGTTACAAACAAATTGAGAGATATGATTCGCCATTATTATGTTATTATATGTCACCAGTAAGCGATTAGAATTTGAACTAGATGGAATCTGATCTTTTACTTCAAGTTATTCATATGTTCCTATTTATTTGTCTCTTAATTCTCCGCAGCAATAATAACTTTGATTTGTATGTTGCCATCAATGCAGAAAAGTAGAATTTAATGGGGGAATGAGTAAACATGGTCAGTATGCTGAAGAAGCCCTTTTGGTAGGCATGACCAAGACCTTTGTCAAAGAGACATGGTTTTAAAGAGAACCCTGAAATATGAGAGAGGTGAAAATGCAGAGAGGTTTGTGGAGGGAACTTTGGGCTATAGATGGCTGAAGATATGGCCACTAACGGGGTGGAGATCCATTAGGGTTGAATGTCTGTCTCTCTCTCTCTCTCTCTCTCTCTCTCTCTCTCTCTCTCTCTCTCT